CAAACACTGCACGGAATGCTTGCTTAACTACGCGACACACAGCCGCCATGGCCCCGGTGTATTGTAGCACGCTGAGACGTGAACCGGGGCGGATGCGAGCCCGTGGCGATTGTTTGGTTTCTTCTGCTTCTCGTCACGAAGAATCGAGGCTTTTTCGCAAAATAAACCACCTGATTGTTGGGATTTCTTTCTTTGAGGTTGCCGATTGATGATTGCGATGCAGTAACGGTGCTTGACGGACTTTGTACGATGCTTCTCTCTTTCTTTACTCTGACCGGATTGCTGGCGATCGTCGGAGCCTTTCACATCCCCGGCAGGGGCTTCGATCGGTTTATTACCATCTGGCTGGAAAACCAGGCACGTCTGCCCACATCCCTTGATGGCCAACCCCATTCGCTAACTTTGGTTACTCAACAGGATTTCGCCAAAGTCGTTAAAGATTCCCACATTGCTGATCTCAAGAAGGACGGGATTCTGCTCACCAATTACTACGCGCATACCCACCCCAGTCAGGCCAACTACATTGCAGCTCTTGCTGGAGACTACTTTGGCCTGAACCATGATGAACCGGTCCGACTGCCGTTAAACATATCGACCATCGTGGATCTTCTCGACTGGAGGGGTCTGTCATGGAAAGCGTACATGGAAGATATCCCTGGCCCAGGTTACTTGGCTGCTGCCAGCGACGGCCAAACAGGTGATGGAAAGTGGGACTATGTACGGAAACACAAGTTGGTTTGCCCAGGGTCCTGCTGGATCCGCCGATGCTAATATCATATCAGCCCCTTCGTATCATTTGACTCCATCAACCTGAACGGATCCCGCCTGCTCAATATCGAAGGGTTTGACGATTTCCAGACCGACTTTGAGAAGAAGAAGGTGCCGCAATGGGTATTCATGTCTCCCAACCAAATGAACGATGGCCACAATACGTCTCTGGAGTATGCGACAAAATGGGCACAGGATTTCCTGAAGCCAATGTTAGTCCCGGGCGCCTTCAAAGAGCGCACGCTCATCCAACTCACCTACGACGAGTCTGAAGATCACGGAAAACCAAACAAGATTGCGTCACTGCTCTTGGGCAGCGCACTCCCCGAAGACAGGAGAGGGACGGAGGACAAGACGTTTTATACACACTACTCAATGTTGTCAACAGTTCAGTTCAACTGGGAGACGCCAAATCTGGGCCGGTACGACGTTGGGGCCAATATCTTTCAGTTCGTGCAAGACCTCGGTAGCAGAGTGCTTGTACCGAACAAAGACCCACCCAATATGGCCTCCGTGAACAATTCGGAATCATACTTTGGACCGCTTAATGGGGATGCGAGCAAGTTTCGCCCCTATCCACCCCCGAATCTTGCTCTCAATGGGTCCAGTGGACTTCCAATCCTGGAGCACACTCGTCTCCAATGGGTCTTCCACAATCAGCCGACTCCATACGACGGGAACGGTACTCTTTACGACGCCAATTCCCAACCTCAGTACATCCCGCAAGCCGTCCAATAGCGTTCGCCGGATGCCAGGCCGGAGCTCATCCTACGGGCTCGCATACAGGATCGTTCAAGGAACGGCCGTAATATCATATGGGACGCACGCAAGGTTAAGACGTCTTGCCCTGATTCGAAGGAGTTCAAGTCCGGCTTCTATAAGCCCCCATGAGCGCTACCAACTAGATTAAGGTCGCGTGAAAACGATCTTTCGATCCACGTTGATACAGCTCGATATCTCGAACATAAGCGCACGATGGCCTTGCGATTTGAGCTACTTGGGCATCTGATAATGACAGACGTTCCCGGCTCAGAATAGAGATGCTAGGCGATCTCCCGAAATTCATCAAAGAAGTTTTGCGCGGGATACCCCAGACGGACAGCGGATGGCTATCTTAGAGCAAGCCACAGGATGGGAGTTGAGCCTAAAGTGTGGGAGCCGACACCGATGAAATCAATGAAGTCGATGTCTGGGATGCACTTGACGCATGTGGTACTCCCCAGAGATGCCGAGCTGAGGCAGTCGGCGCTCTAATGTCCCAGGCCGATAATGATGGGGAAGCAGATGTCGATTGTCGATAGATCAGAGTTTGGGAAGGCCCGTCCGGTTGCGCCACGGCTTTCGGAGGCGGTTGGCCGACGGCAAGCTTGAGACATCCTTCAGGCTTGGGAATGTGGTTGTTTGTGACACCTCAGCAGCGTCCGCCACAGTCCTACTTTTCGGCGGTCCCATTTTGCCCACGTTATACCATTTTGTCCATGTCACACAGCCATGCTTGTCGCCAACGGCGTCGTGGTCTGCGCCTCGCGGCAGTTGAGCAGCAAGTTTCATCGCCGAGACGAAAGGATGGCGGGCGTATGTAGTCGCAATCAACCTATTGAATTTTACTATCGATCTGAATCGATCTGGGTTGTCGCCTTGCCTGAAGCGCGAGAATAAGGCTATTCGTAGTAGTCCGTCTCAGCTCAGATGCCAGCCCGAAAGACCCGTCAGCGAACAGTCTTGACGAACCAGCCTTCGGAAGATGCGGAACGTTCGGCAAAGAGGGGATCTTGACCTCGCGGTCCGTCTCAAGATGCACTAAGAGCTGGTCAATCCGCAGCAATTTCGGTCGACGGGAGATGCACATTACCCGCGGCATCACCCGTCTCATGAGTCGGTTACAACCTTGAGACGATCGATGGACACATGGTCATAGAACAACGGGAAGCGGGAGTCAATTCGGCACTGCAGCAGGATCAAAGCCGGACAGAATCGCAAGAAGAGAATCAACGGGAATGGCTTCGGTGGCTCACTATGACTCAAGGTTATTTGAAGCGTCAGAATAGTACACTGATTTAGAAAGATTCCTCATCTAGGAGATGCTTCTGAATCGTGATAGTTCTTCTAGACGCAGGCCGAGCACGAGACTACCATCGTGAACTATGTTGACGTGCTCATTTAGTTGTGCCTACTTTCTTAACTCCCAAACTGATTCAGTCTGCCCAATTGCGCCGACTCGCCGACCCATGCCAACAAAGTTCCACGCCAGTCACTCGCTGAGCCATCAATGATGCGACTTGCAGAGCATAATGCCATCTTAGCGTTCTCCAACCAGAGCCGTCTTTGCGCTTGCGTACTAGCGCCAGGAGATGGAGGGAGCGGCGCATCATTAACAACACGAGGTAATCTAGTCCCTGATCCGTCATGGAATGTCCATGGAATGAATGTGCCAGTTTTTACGCACGAAATTTTACTTCTCTTCCGTATTGTTGAAGGTCGATTCATCGCGCCCGGTGGCTGCCATTGAGCCACCGCCAGATACGCCCGAATCCCCCGCTCTTGAAGCATTCTTCGACGTCACCACTAGAAATCCTCAAGGTTGCAGTTCAGATTGCAACTGTATGCTACGAGAAGTGCCGGGCCCGCAGATTTTCCCCGCGACGGGTGAGCCCGGTGATGCCAGCTATCTCCCCGTGGGCGGAGAGACATGCATGTAGCCCTGGACGAGACATTTCCCCCTCATCGAATGTTAATTGACGATCCCCGTCGGCACAACCGAAGCACAAAAAGAAGCGTTACCCGCAACGGACATACTGCTATTTGACACGCTTACGGGCACTTTTGGCACGTTGGAAGCCGTCTCTGTACCACTGTTTCGTATCCAGCTTGCCATCGTGTAACAAAAGCCTCCCGTTGGACTCAAGAAAGGACACCAATTACTCAATATGCCAACCATTGGCGGGTACCGCTCGAACATCCCGACAGCTGCGCGATGCTCGATCAGATGTCAGTGCCATATCCACTCTTGCGCTAGCAATTTTCGCCTGGCGTTGCGCTGGTCTCTGGTCCTCCCGTGCTAGACGCATCTGAAAGTCTGAGAATGGGGGGACGATGCCAGTCTCCTTGGCTTGGCCCTGAAATCTTCTTGGGCCGAGACACTTGCGTCCCTGCATGGATCGACGCTGCATTCCAATTACATACACATCCCGAAGCACGGACACCATACCTTCAAGGCTTTCCCAAGTGCCGCTATTATTGTTCTTCCTTTGTTCCTTGGGGCGGACGGGATGCATACCTAGCACAAAGAAGAGCGTGAAGCTTTTTCGCAGGTAAGATTTGGGGAATCGCGTTTCTCCTCTTCTTGGCCCATGGAGTTGTCCGTGTTGCGCTCAAGTCTTTTTTTCCCGCAAATCTGATGAAACTAAGCAAGCCTGCCGTGAGCAAAAAGGCAAACACGAATCAGTCCAGCCACAGAGCACAATGACTTAGCCTCTCACCCTCTCTCCTGGTCGGCGGGCAAGGTGGCTTTTCGAAGTGTTTTCCGAAGAGAGGGGAAAGGGGGGGGGGAGGGGGTAAATCTTATCCTACCGGTTGGGTTTTCCATCTTTGTGGCAGACTTCCTGTTCCTGTTCCTGCTCCTTCGCGACAAGACGATAATGGGCGATGGATGGGAATGCAGGAGTCTAGGAGGACCATTATCCTAACCTCCGGTGCTACGGGACATGCACGTAACCGTCGCACCTAGGACAACCTCACGCAAGTCACCAAAGACGCATGGACGTAGGATCCACCGCCACGAGGTTCGGTTGTCTGTCCCATCGATCTTTGGCCCCGCAACCACAGACTGGGCCGTTTGGCCAGTCACATCCGCGCAATAGGGTATCACGGACTTGCTCCTGAGAGTTAGACGGGAAGAAACCCCTGATCCAAGACACAGCGGCATCCACTTCCAGTTGCTCGATGCGCATGTTTAGACTTCATCTGGGTAAGGGTGACGGGGTTTTCGTAGTCCGAATTGTTGGTGAACGACTCCGTAGAGCCAAGTAAAGTAGTTAGGTAGGCTGTTGTTGTTGACTCTCGAGCCCGTTACCCGTACCCTCCTCCCCGGCCGAACTGTATTGGTATACCTTAGAGCGGCTTACTCACTAGGAGTTGATAGCCATTGAGCTACCCAACGCACTAAGACCGGATGTGCCCAACCATGCCAACCTACCTTAGAGTTTGCCCTTGTCATTGGCCTTTCCCGTGTGGTTCCCCTGAAGAAGTGGTGCCTGCTCAGACGGCAGCCCATCACATTTGTCTTATATCGCAGATGTCCTTCCCACGTCGGCCGCCCCCCTCCGGTCAATCCTGGATGACATGACAAACGTCTGTGGTTGCCCGTCAAAAACATTTGAGGCAAATTCTCGTCCTGGTCACGACGGGCCTTTCTCTGCTCCTTTCCGTCTTTCCTTTCCTTTCCTTCCCATTCATTCTCACAGACATCTTCACCATCAGCATCGCTCGCCATGAGGCAATCGATACTGCTCGGCGTCGCGGTCGCCTTCTTTGGTGCTGTTCAAGGTTCACTGCTGGAGTTTGCAGCCATGCTGCCCCAGTGCGGGGTGGGTTTTCGCTTTCCACCAACTCAGATCTAGGAGAATCTGACTGACATCATTCCCATCATCTAGCTGGAATGTACACTCGAAAAGTTACCACTCTCGGCTTGTAAGGTTCCGACAAACGATACCTGCATATGCAGTGATCATGATCTGCGGATGAGCGTACAAACATGTCTCATCCAGCGGTGCAAGAAACTAGAAGCCATAGGTAAGGCTTTCCTATCAACTGATCATAGATGCAGAAGAGGGACTGACAGCGATACAGACGTTGCAAGGATAGAAGCTGAAGCATGCCAACGTCCGGTCCGTAAGCGAAAGGTGGACATCATGGTGCCACTCATCCTCCAGATTACCGGGATTCTGGTGGTTCCGTTACGATTATACGCGAGATGGACGACGATGCATCGATTCGAGGCCGACGACTGGATCATGATGTTCTGCGGCGTACGTTGGATCATCCATGAGTATTGAGGGGCCATATTCTAACATGCTATAGGCTATGTTTATCGTTTTTGTCGTTGTTGGACAGCTTGGTAAGCCTAGCATCCGTTCGATCCCATGATCCTTACTAACAGCCGCAAAGCCGGGCACGTTGCCTTTGGAGAAGACATCTGGATGGTCGAGCCAGATGAACTCACCTTAGGATTAAAGGTAAGAAGAATAAGCGCACACGAATCATTCATCAGAAGCTGACCTTTACAGCTCTTCTTCATCGACGAAAGCATGTACCTCGCCTGCCTAGGCCTGACCAAGATCTCAGTACTCTTCTTCTACCTCAGAATATTCCCGAATAAGTCCTTCCGATGGGCAACATACGCGACCATGACATATATCATAATATCGACCACGGTCGTTCTCCTGATGCAGATCTTCCAGTGCATCCCCTTTGAATTCAACTGGGTTGGCTGGAAAGGCGACTATGGTCCGCACCACTGCCTGGATATCAACGCACTAGCCTTTGTGGCTGCCGGGCTGAGCATCAGCCACGACCTCATCATCCTCGCCTTGCCTCTTCCGCTGCTGTTGCACCTCAACACTTCCAAACGCTCCAAGATAGGCATCCTGTTCATGTTCAGTCTCGGCATCTTCGTCCTCATCACGTCATGCATCCGGCTCCGCTACATCGTCTCGTTCACGCAATCGCTCAACCCGACGTGGGACTTCACGGACCCCCTCATCTGGTCCGGTCTCGAGGCATCCGTATCCATGATTGTCGTGTGCCTCCCGGCGCTCCGGATCTTGCTGAAGCGTGGCTGGCCCAGGCTGTTCAGCACGATTGGCACCGTGGAGATCCACTCGGCACCGAAGAAGAATACCAACGCGTCATCTCGGATGGCGTACGCCATGAAGGTGGCTGAAGATGGCGAGGGCGATGGAAACGGAGACCACAACGCGATGAACGAAGGGGACGAAGAGGTCGCTGACGCAAAGTACGCCGCGAGCGAAGCGAGAGCCGCGAGGAGGATGGCGGAGAAGAGGAGGAAGTTCTTCTCGTTCAGGTCAACGACCGTGGAGCCCAACGAGAGCGAGCTGGAGCTGGAGCTGGGCGACAAGGTGCGGGGCGAGGTCAGGACGCAGATCCGGTACCATGATGGGGAATCGGTGACGAGGAGGAGCTCTATTGAATCTGGGATTCATGTGAGGACGACGACTACCATTCACGACGCGAATGGGAAGACATTTTGAGTCCGTCAGTTGAGACGCTCAATCACGCATACACGGGGGACTTGAATTTTCGCATTTCTTTCACTTTGGAAACCACAGCACTTAGGAGACTGATGATACCATTGCATCGCGAGGCGTTGGATTTACTTAAGGGAGTTTCTCTACAAGAATACATGTACGTAATAGTAAAAAAAAGTAATATCATGTCTAATTATTAGTATACCCTTATGCCTTTCACAACGAGCAGATTTTGATCCATTTTGAACAAGATAGATGTCTCAAAGGCAACAGGAAGTGGCGTATCGAGTGAAGACCGACTCGAGTCCGACGATTGAACGACGATCTACTTGCCAAGAAAGGCGTTCGTTCATCCAGGGTCCCCCATAAATCACAGCTAGGGCTTGTTTCATCAATTCAACGTCTCCCTCAAGATCGCGAGGGCTGCTGGCATGGATCAATCCGGTCAAGCGTACGTACACATGAAATAGCTCAGAAAGCAGCTGGCCATTTTCGTCCCATCAATGGCCTGATTCTCTCAAGCTTTCGTAAGAAGGCACAGGGATTGGTTGATGGGTAAGGGGATGATCCGGCTCCGAGAGGGGGTTTTGCCCGCCCGGCTCCCGCCGCCGCGTTTGGTGGAAGGGCTTGTGATCGGAGGGGAAGAGAAGGCGGGGAGATAGATGCAGGGAAGAAGTTTGTTTGCCGTTCCCGTTGAACAAGCTTGTTTCTTTGCGTCTCATATGACTGGATATGTGAAACACCAGAGGTACCTTGAAGGGCTCGGAGGAACGTGGTGGTGTTTGGTTCCATGGCCTAGCTTATCTTACCTCATGACAATGGAGACCGATCAACGCGCAGTAATTGAGTAATTCGTGTTTGTAGAGAAGCTGCACGTCGTACTGCAGTATCACAAGTTCAAGGGTCGACCGCTGGGTTGAGGGAGTCCGAGTCAGCTTTGTGGCCCACTGGTGACCATTCCTTCTCATGCCTGGCGTGATTAATTGAAGCTTTTTGCTGGATTTGAAAATTGATTCACTTGAGGATAACATACATGATCTACGCAAACAGATGGTCCGTAAAGTCAAACCAGAAGAGGAAGCAAGAAGGTGACCCCCTGGCTTCGAGTCGACGCCGTCGCAATAATCCCAGCGACTGTGAACTCTCTACCATCAATTCCTCACTGTCAGATGTAAAATGGGGCGAATAGTCGATATTCTTGATGAAGTTAGGCTATTGAATGATCTTCTTTAGTCCTAGAAAGCACATTGTTGTTTGCATTGTCTTACAGGCGTATGGACCGACTTTTCGTTGAGCACCTCGGTCACACACATACAGTCAAGAGTGTGACTTTACAGATGAGACTTCTTAAGTCCCATTGCTGATATGATGGGAGACTGGTTGAGATAGATTGAGATGTCAGAAAGATCTCATCGTGATCATGCTAAGCCGCGGTCCCTCTTGATATCCCACTGATGCGCACGGCAGAGCTCATAGAGTACATCCAAAATGGGCGTCACTATAGATTGCTTGTGTGCTTCTCGGCAGATTTCACCAAGAATGTTTTCGTGCTCAATCAAGTTTCTCTAGAGCAATCAGTGAGTATAGTCAAACGCATTGGAAGGGGGGATGGGACAGGGAGTCATACCTTATCAAAGTCAACCTGCATGCTGGGTTTGATATTCTCATCCACCGGATTCATCTCTATAGCCTGCGTCATGGCGCTTAATGGGATATCGTGACCTGCAGCCGCCGCTACTTCGATCACTTCTTTCATGGCCGGGATAACCAAAGAGTTCATCGGACCGTCCGCCGTTCGTAGCTGGCTGGCGTTCACCCTCGTTAAAGCACAGATGGGGTTGAACGAAGCGTTGTAGACGAGTTTGCTCCATCGGTCGAAGTCGACGTGTGGTTTATAGAGGCAAGTCGTCTTACCTCCAGAACTATAAATGTCGACGAAGCGTCTGGCGGCGTGTTGCTGTTCTTCTAGGCCGATGTTGGCGTTGTGAAAAGCGCCAATGTGGAGGAGATCGGGCTGCTTCTGCTCGATGACACCTGTTGAATGCTCGTGCGCGTCGATGCGGCTTACTCCAGAGAGTACAACAGTTGTAGGGAAGCGATTGAAGAAGGGGAGCTGGATATTTATGCCGTTTTGGATGAGTACGATGACTGTTCGGCCTGGGACGACGGCTGGAGCGATGATGTCTGGCAGGCTTGGGCCGGCGTCTGGGATTGTTTTGGTGCAGCAAACGACGTATTCGAAAACGCTATCAGAGCCTGAGTTCGTTGATTCCGGGACGCTATTCAAGACTACGGGCATCGCAACTATAATGAGCGACATGGCGAGAAGGTGGCCGGGTTACTGGAACTGACCTTCGGTAGGCCGCCAGCCCTCTTTATCGCCGTGTTCGCAAGACTCGATTGTGAATCCATTGCGCTTCACGACGTCGAAGTTGGAACGGAGGACTGCGGAGACCTGAGCTTGTCCTCCGGCTTCGAGGTTAAGAGCGGCGATCGTGCCGATGCCTCCACATCCGACAAGGAGCACGCGGGCTTTGTCTGATGTCATTTCGAAGGCTGTGGTCTTGCTTGAGCTTGACCTCTAATTTAAGGTGTCTTGAGAGAAACCTGTGGATGAATCATTCTTCTGGACACCACCAGGCAATATCACCGCCGGCGGCAACGGCATATTTGAACGGGGCAAGATCCGGGACCGGACCGGCTTTTGGCTGACTGTTACCCCGCACCCCACTATCAAGACCCATAATGAGGCCCGGACCGGCTCCAGGACGCTCGGCGGCTTCATCCGAAGCGCATGGGCTTCTCTTACATATTACTTCTCTCGCGGCGGCAGTACGATCTCAGCAGGACATTTAGTCATCTCTCACATTTTCTGTTTCTTCTTCGTGCCAAATTGAGCACCTTGGCCATCTTCAAGTCTGCAAGGCGACATGCTATCGGCAGTATGCGTAGCTTTTCAAGCACCTGGGATCCGGCCAGGCTATGCTAACTATTATGTTCAACACGAGTCACCCTTGTCACTCTGGTGCGAGTCCGGTCCGTTGCCTCTCATCCTCTACTTGAGACAGTGATACCTTTCCGAGCAGTGAAGCCGGTGACGTGGCCCGCAAACTCGGAACACAATGCTTTTCTTGAGGTTCCGAGAGCGAGGCACAAAAACGGTGTTCGTGTTCGAGGGTTGGCCTGAAACCTGTGGACGTGTTCGGTTCATTCCAGTGCCCCTGTCGTCGGCCATCCCACTAGACCAGATAGTTTGACAGCTGTCAGGGCGACGACACCGCTTTCTTCTCTTTTCTCGGTTCCAAGTTATCGGTCCAACCTTGACGTTGCATTTGGTCATCGCTGCTCTTTGGAAATAAGAAAATCCTGAAGCCCAAGTCCGTGGGGGACCATGCACATTTACAGCTGACACAAGGCGGAGAAGTGAACACCGAACCACATCTGCAAAGGACAAGGATTGCACAGACCATTTGCCGCAATTTTGTTGGTTCCTGGCCGTTGGTTTCAATGTTTCTTCTTCCAACTCAACGACCAACCTCACAGGCCCCTTTTCCTAACACCTACGGTTATTCCCCCCGAGTCTCCCGCACTCAATCTCTTGACCGGAGCATTTCGATTTCCCTTTTAAACTTCCTTGCAAACCTAGTGTGCGGTAGAATCCAGGAACCCGCAAAGGAACAAACCTTAGCCCATCGCAGCAATACCCATAAGCGCATCTCCTCATCGGAACTCTCTTTCACACCACACGCCAAGTCAGCCTCCCACTTACCGGTAGCCAATCACGAAAAACGAAGCAATGGCACGCCAGGGCAACGTAAAAATGGCCTCCTCTGGCTCGGCCGCGGCGATGGGCTCGTCCTCTACGGATCCCTCGTCTGCACCCTCCCCGCGCGACCGCATCATGACGCATATGAACCGCGACCACCAGCGCGAGCTCTCCCTCTACCTGCGCCACTACGCCGGCCTCAGCCGCTCCGCCGCCTCGTCGCCGTGGCTCAAGGACTGCACTTTCGAAGGCATGACCATCGCGGCCGGCGGGCTCGGCGGCAAGGAGTTCTTTATCGAATTCAAGCCGGCCCTCACGGCGTGGGAGGACGTGCGGCCTGCCGTCGTGGAGATGGCGCGCGCGTCGCAGCAGGCGCTGGGGTACAGCGACATCACCGTCGGGCACTTTGCGCCGCCGCAGGGCTTTGACGTCGTTGTGTTTGGCGCCGTTGCGTTCTACTTTGTCTGCTGGCTCACGCTTGGGTTTGTGCTGCCCGGCACGCCGATCTGGTCCTTCCTCCAGACCGCGTTCCCCGGTGGCCCAAGGTTCTATCGGTGGTTGGTCAAGGCCATCTTTCTGCCCGTGTTGGGAATTCACCTGAGCGAATGCTATTGGTTCCACCGTACGAGGCTTCAGAGGCACGGCATCGAGTTTGGAACCGGCTTGTGGTGGACGTGGATTGGAAGTCTGTTCTTTGAGGGGCTACCTGGCTTTTGGAGGTTCGATGGCATTGTTGCGGCTAAGAGGCAGGAGAAGGAGAGTAAGAGCCACTGAGTTTCTTTTGGAGGAGAAGCATATGGAATAGGCTTTTTTGAGGCGAGTAGATCTCCTCTGGATGCGATCAGGCGGCTTCATACGGCCTTCGACTCGCGAGAAGACAAGGGAGGTCGATATAGCAAATCGGCATGACCGCAAACAGTGTTTCGAGATTCGGGTCCTTCCCTTTCACAGTTGCGGCCAGGAATAGATCCACGAATATTGGCAGGTTGGACGGTGGAAGAAAGGACGCTCTATTTCATAATCAGCTTTCTCTATTGATGAGTGTAATGTTAATTGATGAGACACCCCGAAAGACCCTTTTCTATTGCGAGGTGAGGAATCATCGGAGAGACATTTGATTCCGGATACAATCTATTAATTGTCGAGTTATCGTGTTTGCACAAACATGATGGCTGTGAAGGTGTGAAGATGATTTGGAATTGCTTGCTCTCCAATGAGATGGAGTGGTTGGAAGTCACAGTTGTGAAAAATTGAGGTTGAATGCTCAGGAGCTGATCTCACGTCGAAACTCATGATGAATAATGAGATCGGATAAGGCACGATGAGATTGAAGGGCCGAAATGAGAAGGACCACACCGACGAGTGAGCTGTTCGCTCTTTCCACACCACTTCGCCCTCGCTTAACATGGTAGACCCACTCCGGCCGGCGCCTAGGTACCTGAGCTTGCCTTCCCCGCGATCCCATCGTGGACCTCCCTTCCGACCACCGTCCACATCCTCGTTGCCGATGATCTGTCAGCTTCAGCATTACTTCGCTCAACAGCGTTGAACAATGTCACCATAGATGCAGACACCATGCCGATCACTGCTAGCTGATGCCACGTCGTCCGTATTCCAGACTGCACGACTTGCCGTCCTCCGAGGGGATGGCAGTGCCACATTGAACGCCTCGGGAAGCCTTGCCGCCCGCCTGTCTTCTGATAGCCCCACCGGGCACTTCTGCGAGACAAACAACGCTATCTCTGGGAGTTGAAGAAGTCTCTCCGATAATATCTCACTTTCCTAATCGGACGATTGTTGCGAGTTCTGATGGCGGCTGCGGCAAACCTCTTCGCAAGATTAGCGACCTTCACCAATGCTACGCTTCCGAATCATCAGCTTGTTTGCCTCCAGCAACAAAGCTCCCCGAGATCTAGTTTCGCTCCCGAATAGCAAACAATACCTACAGGTTGTCCAATCGCGACTTGTTCGTAGATATCTTGGCACTGCCCAATATCTTCTCCACGATCGCCTGCAGACCGCAGACCGGGGCCTCGGTCTACGAGATCGACATGGTCGAGCTTCCACGAGCAGGGGTGCGGCACATGATGAACTCTCAACTACGTACTGTCACGGTCAACACAACCATCATCGGGAACCTGTGCACAAATATATCTCACCACTCCATTCAGTATCGGCAGTTGAGCAACTCTAAGCATTGTTCGGCTAAACATCGAACGACACGGGTTTGCTGAGCAAAGCATCGCGCCGAGAGAGAGAGAGAGAGAGCCTGGATCATCCGAGATTATCTTGCACTCGGAAATCCGCGCTCATTCAACATCAAAATCACCATCATCGGCGATCTAGAATGCGGATTACAGGATATGAGAGAGGCACAGGACGAACCGCAAGATTTCGAGGAGCAAACGGGACAGAGGGCTGCGATAACTCAAAACCGTTCTCAGAGGTATACCACACAGTTGGCCAAGTGTTGCTACTCTGTGCAATACACATCACAAGCATGATAGTAACTTCGGTCTTCAGGTGCTCGTAGTGACAATACCTTCCAGGTCTTGACAAGCTACGGGAACTTGCCGCCTCGCGTAGAGCATCCGAGCTTTGCAACCCATCGCGGGGAACCCCGATCTCAAATCACCCTAACCTCACAACGGTGAGGGGAAACCGGCCTTAGCCTCAGAAGCTCTCTATACTTTGCAGGCGGAACCTTGAGAGTTTGTCTTTGGCCGTTCCCTAGCGCAACCGAGGCGCGCTAATACTGCAACGTAGAGTCTGCTGCTCTTCTACCACCAGACGGTCTAGGCGTCATCAAATCTGGCAAACTCGTCTATCTGGATCATCTTGACTGCCCTTACAGACCGTTCTCTTGCCCGGAGACCAGGGTGCCAACAAGGCTTGCACCGTATACGCGCTATTTCTTTCGCACCCATCAGACTCTGAAGACGAACGCGTGGCCATCATTTGGGAGGTGCGGCAATCTTGTCCAGCGGCACTATCAGTCTGGTCTCTTAGTGGACATCGAGTCTCACTGGCTGTAAACCATCTTATTTGTGCTTTATAGCCTTGTTTTGCCTTTCGTCTGTTCTCAAGTTGAACTCAATTCAGGACTATAATGCAGTAACATTACGCCTATACGGAGTACCATTTCTAGATTTGAAGCAACATACGTTATTCGATACTCGGTTTCGGGACTCACGCTCGGTCCACGACCGCTTTCGCTCCTCGAGCGAGCGCGGGATGCTCCGTCTCTGGCTTTGCTGCGCCCTCACTCACTGCATTGACGTTGAGAAAGTCTAATGACATCGATGTTGGGCTAGCTTTTCCAACTACACAAACCGGCGTCGGCACGTTTGTCTTGCTGAACACACCCAGCCCGGCAGCGGTTCATTCAAGGGAGGTGTAGCACTAGTCTCCAAGGCAAGGTGATCATCTCCCGTTTGCTGCAGTACTGCGCCATCAGCAAACCTACTCTTCGCGACGAACCCTCTCTTGGGAATGGCATGGAAGTTGGTTGTACAGGCTATGAGGAAACAACCAATCGACGCTGACATCAATCAACTCGCGCTGCCAACTCACTGACCCGTGAGGAGGCCCTTAAAGGCGGCATGGCAAGTCATGGCACTGCCGCGCCGACCTAGCGACCCCGCTCCACTAGCTTTCGGTTACCTTGTACTCGCTAGATTCACCGTTACTGAGGACCCTCCGTGCATACGATGGACTTGTCTCACTGTTCCGCAGTCTGTCAGTCAGCCTTCAGGCAAGCTGGGCTTCTGGATGGTTTTCGAGGTGCATATGCGGCTGTCAATGTGCATTTGATGGCTGCAAGTATCTGAAAGGAAAAACGAAAATTTTCTCCATTGTGGACTTCTAGGTTGGATTTGGGAGTTGCTAAGAGAATCGAGAGGGGCAAGCAAGGCTCCCTAATTCGGATAGTGTTGCGAACTTACCCACAACCCGACTAACCCCGGCCCGCCTCGATAGACTAGTCGACTTAATGTTACTGAGGCTCTATCGGAGGAATCCCACGAACTGGCCTGCCATCCGCACCTTTGCCCGGCCACGACGTCCGTATGGACAGGGTTCCCTGCAGCAAACAGGTGAGTGGTCGACGCGAGTCCCGCCCATCTTTCAGGACTCACACTGGCAAGCGGGCTAGTCATCCGGGGTACCCTTCGTGATAATGAGACGATTGAGGAGGGCATCGCCCATTCTTGGGAGCGGCCCAAGGCAATCGGCGAGCTGGGGATCGTCCCCTCGGCAAGCATGGTCCACAATGGCTTCAGCAAAGTTCGTTGACATAAAGGCGAGGTCAAGGTCCCCTCCTGTTGCGAGCCCAGCAAGGCGGTCCTCTTAATAGCGCCTATCCGCAGCTTCAGACTCAGTCTCCTGGTTCTGCCACGCCCACCTCACCTCACCTCACCTCAGGTCTCTAGTCTATCGTTAGTTGAGCTCTCTCACCCTCAACATCACCATGAGAGCCCAAAGCATCATCAGCAATGTCCTGAGGGCCGTGGTCACCACCTCCAGTCTGGCTGCTGCCAAGCCGGTCCTCCCTCGCTGGACTATAGGACAGTCGGTGACGACTTCCAGCGGTCCCGTTGCAGGACATGTTGCTACTGGCGTCGAACAGGCAAGCCTACATGCGTTAAAAATGAAGAAATTCGACTAACAAAAAGACGTCTTAGGTATCCGAATATTTGGGTATTCCGTACGCTCAGCCGCCGGTTGGGCCCTTGCGCTTCCAGCCTCCAGTCAAGTTTACCGGTGCTTCTCCTATCAATGGCTCCGACTTCGTAAGTCTCCCCCAAAATTTTTGGAAACATTCCTCCAGAGGTTCAAATTTAATGTCTTGTCAACGGTATACTGATGCATCTCAATAGGGACACCAATGCATGCAGCCGGCGAACGCCCCCACTAGTCTGGAAGCTGTCTTGAAGCTCGGTATTCCCGCGTCGGCCATTGAAGTGACCAAAGCGCTGGGTGACACGGGCTCTCAGAGCGAAGACTGCTTGACCTTGAATGTGTGGACCAAGCCACAAGCCGGCGACTCGAAAAAGGCTGTGATGGTCTGGGTTCACGGGGGTGCTTTTACCACAGGTACGAGTGCCTTCGTCTGAACAAATCAAGAAAGCATGTACGGTGTACTGACTCGGGTTGTAGGAAGTTCCCGCATCCCAGCGTACAACGGAAAGTTCATTGCAGACCAGAATGACGTGGTGGTCGTGTCCATGAAGTGAGTCGTCAACGGAGGCTCGGGGAATTAGGTCTCGTCAATGCTAACTCGGGTCAACCTTGAAGCTACCGCCTCAACCTCTTCGGATTTCCAGGCAACCCGGTCACCGCCCCGAATCTTGGTTTCCTCGATATTCGCCTGGCAATGGAATGGGTCCGCGATAATGTGGAGAAATTTGGCGGCGACGTCAACAGGATCACCATCTTTGGGCAATCTGCCGGGGGCTCCTTGGTCGACTACTACTCTTACGCATACGCGTCCGACCCCATCGCCAGCGGTTTCATCCCCATGAGTGGCACGGCTACTGGATTCGGTATCTTCACCAACCAGACTGTGAACGCGAAATGGTTCAACGTCACGTCAGCGGTCGGCTGCGGTAACAACTCGACCGACCCCAAGGTGGTCTCTGACTGCATGCTCAGCAAGCCCGCCACAGATCTCCTCACAGGTCTTTCCTCGCAAGATGCCGGTATGGCTTCCGCTGGAGGGCTCTCTTTTGCCCCAGTGGTAGATGATCGTCTTATTTTCGCCGACTACAGCATCCGCGACTCGGCCAACGCAGGGTATCTCATCGGCAACACTGAAAACGAGGCTGGGCTCTTCAAGATCGGAGCCCCTGACCTCAATGAGACATACTGGTTTGGTTTCAACCTTGTCGCTTTTAGCTGTCCCGCTGCCAGAAGAGCCGCGCGGGCCGTCTCTGCGGGCCATCCGACATGGCGATACCGTTATTTCGGCGACTTTCCTAACCTTGCTCTTACAACGACGCCGCCCAGTGGAGCATGGCACGCATCCGAGGTTCGTCACACTTTCTTTTTCCGTCAATATTCTTGGCTTGAGACATATTAGCTGACATCGCTTAATAAGCTCCCTGTTCTCTTTGACACCGTGCCCCAGGCGGCAATCAACAGCACAGCGCAGGAGAATGCCGTGGGCAAGTACATGCGTGGTGCGTGGGCAGCCTTCGCAAAGGACCCAGTGTCTGGTCTTCTCAACTACAACTGCCATGGCACGTGGCCCAACTACCAGGCCGACGGTAACACTCTGAACCGCATCTCATTCCAAAACCAGACGGGTGCCAATTTGGCTCAGGGCGACTCTTACGACGGCTTCTGTGCGCAAGTAGGAGTTCCCGTTGCTTGAGGACTCTGAATACGCCCTTCACAGGAGGCATGAAAATAAATGAACTCATATGAAGCTACAATTTTCTACCATTTACAAGATACATTTTTAATATACTCAAAAGTATTTTCTTCTCTCATACATCGCATCCGATGACTCTGTCTGAACTACGTTGCGTGTTCCACTGACCTCGCCAAGCCGCTTTCGGATTCATGAAGAATGCTCACTCTCAGACCAAAACCATTGGCGATGTAATGGTGGCCTTGCGACCTTGAGAAGTCTTCGTCCAGTCATCAAACTACAAGTAGGCTCTCGTATGTCTGGTCTGGTTTCAGATCCCTCGAGCGATCTTCAAGATTTCGATGACCAGTTGCCAAGAATGATATTTCAATTGGGACCTGCAGGGTGCCCTGGGATATGACGAGATAGTGAACTCCGCTGGAAATGAAGCGGGCAGGGGCGGTGATTAGGGGTAGCAACCACTGAAGGGGTACGTACATGCCCTGAATCCTGAGGACAAAAGACCGGAAAAGCTGGCTGTGCACGCTCCAAACTCTAATTGGACTTCTTTGTACAACTCCCGTCCCGAACATCGTCTCTTTCTTCTCCGTCTCAACTCCCATCCATCCTCTCTACAACCATCATCCCGGGTTTCCATCACCCTTGATTCCAAAAACAACTTCTCGAGGCATTTGAAATCATTCAAAAGGCAAAATACGAATACCGAACCGAAGTCCCGGAAAGTCTCCCCGTTATCGGCAGAACAGGCAACGAGCCCGTGTTCCTCGCTACCGGCTCCTCTGCTCAGCCTGCTTGAGTTGCTGCAACCATGCGGCCACCGGCTGCATCTTATCGTGCTCTTCAGCTGCCGAGTCGCTGCGGCTAGCCACCGCCTCTCACGTGTTTGTCATGTCCGGTTCCCTGCCGACGAGGTACCTTGCCTACTTGACGCCGTCTGTTCGCTCCATCGACGGTCCGCAATGCAGTTAGCCCCCTCGACTGCAGTCCGTATCTCTCCGACGATCGTTGGCTCCTACATTGCCGCAATTGAACCCCTCATTTGCCTGACGTGGCATGATTGAGACCATACCTTTCACCGGAAATGTTCTTGGTCGGGCGAGCGAGTTAATGGGACGCGGAGGCTGTCGCAACGATCGGCCATTGCCGACTGATGGCGTCTTGGGTGACTTTGCCCGATCGAGCTTCGTCGACGATTCTGGTGTCGAGAACTGTTCACCGTTGGGTCAATTGAAATGAATCCCTGGTAGTTGTACGCACTTACGGTGCTTTCCGTTTATGTCGTTGGTTGCTACTTCTCTCGTGCGTAGGAAGTCAACTGGGTTGAGTGGACACTGAACCAACAGCAATTCCTACACTGAAGGAGCCATTCTCGACGGCCTAGGCGTCGCATTGATAATGATCTTTTAACACGGCTTCGAGTGAAGACCTCGTTTATGCGCAATTGAGTAGTCGCGATCGCGTGCGAACCATCAGCGAGCTTATATGCGGACACTCATGCGCGACACTGCGTACTCCACCGTATGGGACAGAATGACGGACAGTTCTCAAGTTCCACTCCAGATGATGAGATCTTGCGTCTCTCGTGGCTTTCTGGGGCGTCCAATGGGCTTATCAAGCCATCACCTCCGCTCTGCATTCGCCATTGGACTCTCCAGAGTGAGGCGGCATCTCTTGAGACACGCACCCCCTCTTCGACTACTCTCAAAGATGTTATTCGCAAATGCGCGTACAGTTGCGAGCGTGGGGTCAAGGAGCGGGGTCGTGTAAGCAGCTGAGTCTGAGGAAGATATAACGACACCAAGTTGCCTTGAAGCCTGGCTCTATTTTCGCTCGAACATCATCGAACAACGCCAATTCGCAACTGAGCACCCTATTCATCACTTTCCAATTAACCTGTTCATTCCAGGCAGCACAATTTCAATTTTGAGAAAAGAGCAGGATGTTCCAACCCCAGTGTTAGCGTGCACTCTCTTACCCGTACGAGGAAATGCTCGCCGTCTCAAGACCAACCCCCTATACTAGACCTTCCTATCTGAATTCGTTTCCTCGATACCACCGCAGATCATCGAAGAAGAAGTCCTTCGTCGATTTTACCTGCTTGCTTTCCCGGTTCAAGGCTTTCCAACATAGCCGGCCGGGCAACTTCTCACCGGACATGCCTAAGAAACACGAAACCCCTTCCTCCAAATCACCCAAGTCCTCAAGCACTCGAGCCAACTCAGACCTTGTAGTGAGACAAGTATCAGTGAGTACTCACTCCCCTGTTCCGCTGCTTTGACGATCAGTCACTCACATAGTCAGGGAACACACAGCAACAGACCCTCATCCCCAACTGAAGGTAGTGGGGGAGGAAGTGAGGCCCAAAGCGCCTCTCAAAGGTAGCCCAACTAATGCGTTGGACTTTGCAGCATGCTGAAACTTCTGATAGATCATCACCTCCGTCAATCTCTGCATCTCGCAGATCTGAACTCGCAGATCGGCCTGCTCGCGCTACCGACCCGGCAACCGGTCGAAATCGTACCAGTCCCGCACCGGCCGTCATCGATAACTATCTGGCTTACCGCAAGCAAGCGTTCATCAAGATATTCATGGCGAGGGTCTGCGAATGGCTTGACGACAACGTCTACAATCTTGGGGATGCCCACGATCAAGACGGGGGCTGTCAGCGCGGCTCGAAGGCTTCCAGCTCAGGAGGCGTCAAGAGACGTGCTACGGAAGCGCGTCCAGTAGCTGGTCAGAAGCGGCAACTCAAGGGGCGTGATCAAGACGAGGAAGGCTCCGAAAACGACGAGAATAACGAGCGGAAGCCCAACAAGAAGCGTACCAAGACTGAGGAGGATGATTATCGTCAAAAGTTTGCGTGCCCTTACTACAAGAACGATCCCGTAAGATACAAGAGCCATCGAACCTGTGTTGGTCCTGGTTGGCACGAGATTCATCGGGTCAAGTGAGTGTAGTATCCAGTCATCCATCAAACACTTCCACTGACACGATCAAAGGGAGCACCTCTATCGCAAACATCGCATCTACGCCTGCAACAGGTGTTTTGAGACCTTCAAGAGCGATAACTCACTTCAGGAGCACCAAAGAGCAGCCATACCTTGCCCCGTGCTCGACAAGAAGAAGCGGAAGCTGGACGCAAGTGCAGGGATGGATCAGGAGACGGAGAAGCACCTCAGAGCGCGTAGGCAACCCGGTAAGCACGACGCTGACAAGCAAGACGATGTCAGCAAGTGGTACGAAGTATATTACACCCTGTTCCCGGGGACGCAAGACATTGGAAGCCCTCCAAGTCCTTGTAAGTTTGAACCTCCGATTAGAATAGACACCTGAGATGAAAAGAGAGCCCAAGTAATTGACCTTGGTATCAGGGTATGACACCAACCCGGACAAGACGAATGCAGGCGACTCCAACTCGAAAGGTTTGAAGTATGTAAAGTACTTGCGGCGTGAGTTGCCCAACATGATTCAGCGTGAGCTCGAAAGAGATCTCAACCGCTCGTTTGAGGGCTATGGGGATGGTCTTATGGACCGCCTCTCGATTTGGATCCGAAACAGCTCGGCTAGGTGTGCTCAAATCTTTGAGCACATACCCTCACCTTCGCAGGTGGCGGACCTAGAAGATCCCGAGACTGCACGAGGATCTCGGGCGGTGTCGCCACAGGTGTCCCCTGATACCGACTTGACTGTCGGTATCGATGCCGATGCCAGTGTCGGTGCCATCGAGAACGCTGTAGAATGGGATTTTACCACTCTCGATTGGGACATGCCCGGCTTGTTTGACCAGTTCAACATTCCTTTGGTTTGCCCAATGACAGACGACCAGTGCATTACAGATCCTGACTCCGCCTACGGTACTGGCAGTATTGAGGACTCTTCTGGGGCTCGACAGAATTACATGTGAGAACAAGTGAAATACCTTGTTTTCACCGGGTCCTATGTTCTCTTGGTGCCTATACGTTATGATTTCATCATCATGGTTATTGAGAGCTGTGGCACTTTGCCATAGTACAGCCAACTTCGACAATCATCGAATCTCGTTCTTTACCCACCACTCCTTTCCCACTATGTCTAGTGGCTGCATGTATTTCCTTTGTGCTTGTTCTCTATTGTCATACTCTTGATAGTGTTGAGAATATGTAGGAAGAGGTTGTACATCTACGGCGAACCGTGTACTTGGGTTCTTCCTGTCAGGCTGTCATCGAGTTGCTAGTTGTCCTTGTTTCGAGCTATTACATCTAGTATAGTGATCTTCCACACTAATTCCACTCTTTACCATCACTCTTCACTCGACTTGCTCTACATACGATCTAACTAAGGGAACCGAATTACGACTTTGTTTTCCAAGTGATCGCTATAGCGACGGTAATACTCCGGGGCATCCTCAATACCAATCTCAGCCGTCACTACAAAGCTCGGCTTAGCGACACCAGATGCAATCAAGTCCAGCAAGGGAGGGGCCCGAAGCAAAGGCAAAACGATGCCCGTCCCGACAGACAAGCCCTTCCTCCACAGCGAGGCCATGGGGATAGAAATCTCCGCAGGCAGGGTTCCAGCATTGGGCGCTCCTTCGGTGCTGTTCCCGCCGCCGTTGTAGACACCACCGATGCCCATACCTCCATACACGGCAGTCACCGCAACCATGTTCTCCAGCACGATGCCGTTGTGCGGGTCTCCCGTGGCGCTGACCGACTCGAAGCCCACGCAGTCGAGGCTACGCGCCACGCCATCAGGCTCGCGGTTGAGTATCGCTTCCACGGGGTCTTGTTGGGAGAAGTCGATGGGGATGACTCCGAACGATTTGGCTTGCTCGAGACGGCTGGCGATGCGGTCGACGACGTAGACTCTGGAGGCGCCGCGGAGCTTGGCGGAGTAGGCGGCTAGGAGGCCGACGGGGCCGGCGCCGAAGATGGCGACTGTGTCGCCGGGTTGGAAGCCTGAGTAGGAGAGGACGTGCCAGCCTGTTGTGAAGACGTCTGAGATCATGAGGTAGTCGAGTTCGGATGTGGTATTGGTTGAGGTTATTGGGATGGGGATGAGGGATGTGTCGGCGTAGGGGACCCTGGCGTACTCGGCTGGTACAGGATGAAGGATTGGGTCAGCTTGGGTTGTCTCTTACTCCTGAAGGCAACCGCCCGTACGGTGTCCGAACAGACTAATCATACAGGAATAGAGCGCTCGGGTTATCTTCCGAAAGAGAACATACCTTGCAGTCCGCCATAGTTTGTGCTCCCAACGCCGAAGGACAGGGGGTGCGAAGGCCCCCAGTGCCCGTCGTCAGCGTTGTCTGGAATGATGACATAGTCGCCAACCTCGAAACTCGAGACGGCGTCGCCGACGCTGGAGACGTAGCCGACGGCCTCGTGGCCGAAACCGTAGGGCACGTTGGGCGAGCCGCCGAAGCCGTGATACATGTGGAGGTCGGAGCCGCAGATGGCGGAGGATGTGATGCGGACGACGACGTCTGTCTGGTTGATGATGGTGGGGACGGGCATGTCGATTACAGAGACGTTGTAGGGTTGGCCGAACCAGGCTACTGCTCGCATTGTTGACATTGTTGCGTTTGTTATGTTGAGGGTCATGGTTACGGTTCAACAGAGGTGCTCCAAGGGGAGAGGGTGTGTCTCTGATTGTTTACGGTAGCAACGAATACTGGAAGCAGAGCAAGATGTTTTGTTGCTCTCTTTTTGGACAAAGCAGTCAAGGAGAGAGATCAAGACTTCGATTCTTATAATTTATCGACTTTGTATGGCCCGGTATTCGGAATGATGCGTACGCTTACGATAACGCTAATGTTCATGACGCTATCTCCATAAGAATCGTCATCATAACGTGCCATAGTGATAATTTGTTTTTCTCAGTCTGGCATATCTTGCAAGTGCAACGGGACCGCCATCATGCAAGAGCGGCCTGGTCCGGCTGCAAGCAGGCGGTGATGACCGTACATGCGAGCCGCGTACGCATGCATGCAGATCAGTCGAGGCGTTGATGCTGATGCCCTGGATTCAGCAAATCCTCCTACACGGCGTTCTGCTACCTGCTATCACGAAGTTTCGTAGGGCGGAAGTTGAAATTACCTGCTAGCAAAAAAGTCCCGGTTACACCCCTGTTAGTCGCTGACACGGGGTTAAGCATATCTCCCGAGGAACGGCAGTGCACCGCTTACACTCAACTGGACTTCTCTTGTAGCCGCCAATAGGAATAAGTCTAAGCAAGGACCGACCCCGTCTAAATTGGCTGGTCATGTACGGGCTTAAGGACCTGGAAGATCTTTCTAGCCTGTCATCAAGGCCTATTACTTGTATCACTAGCGAACGATGACGAGAGCCAAGCAGATACCACAAAGCTCGATCTGTTCAACACCCCACTGGATAAGCCTGAAAATCTTTCGGAGAGCTTGTAGACCTGCGTAGGTAGTGTACGGATCTAGTTGAAGTGTAATTTCCGTGTCGGTCTCGCTTTAATTCATCTATGCAAACTTCTGAATGACAGCGAACGGCACTCGGCCGATGAACTTATTGGTTTGGGCGAGAGTATAGCTCTCTGAAGTAAGACTGTAAGGCCAAATTACTAATTAGGCAAGTGGTTTACATACACGGAGATATCCAGTCACAGTCGGACCGAAGTTCATCTCCCTTGGATATTCCGCAGCAACGCAGTGACGACCATAAGATCATCTGCTCATATTTCGGGGATGCCGATTCTCCGCCCTTTCTCTGCATTTAAAGAGTCCAGCGATTAGAACTCTCCATTTAACTTTTCCTTCCAAACCACTCACATCTCTTCAATCGTCAAAGAGTTCTTTCTTTTCTTTCACTCTTTTGGTTTCACCCCTCACTCTCTGTCAACGTCATTCTCGTGTGGAAGGTCCTTCGTCATGAAGCATGCCACGCTCATTATAGGCCTCCTTTGCGGCCTCGTGGTTGCAAAACCTACCAACTTCAAGACCTGGTCTGTTGGCCAGGCGGTCTTCACCACCAGCGGTCGTGTCATCGGCCACGCTGCCCAGGACGTCCCTGATGTTTCCGAGTATCTCGGCATTCCGTTTGCTGCTGCGCCTGTAGGCGCTTTGCGTTTCCAGCCTCCTGTTCCCTACGACGGCTCCGCAGTCATCAATGGCTCTGCATTTGTAAGTCTAGTGACTGTCTCGGTCATTTCTGCCTACCTCAATTTGGAAACGTTGAGTGCCTAACGTGCTGCGAAACAGGGCCCTGGCTGTATGCAACCGTCTGACACAGAGTACCCTCAAAGCGAGGACTGTTTGTCAGTCAATGTTTGGACTAAGCCGCAAGTTGGTGAGCGGAAGAAATCCGTCCTTGTCTGGGTTCACGGAGGCGCTTACTCCTATGGTTCGTGAAGTGTTTGAGTACCAGAAAATCCAAGCCTTGACTAACGCGAGTTACAGGAAGCGCAAGAGAGGACGGATACAGCGGCCGTTTCTTCGCAAACGACTCGGATGTGGTTCTGATGTCCATCAAGTAAGAGACACTACTCTAGTTGTCGGGAACAAGGACTCACGATGCCAGTTACCGTCTTGGAATCTTTGGATTCCCAGGCAATCCCGCCACAACTGCGAACCTGGGATTGCTGGACATGCGACTTGCCATGGAATGGATCCGTGACAACGCCCAAAAGTTTGGCGGTGATCCCAGTCGGATCTCTGTATTCGGTCAGTCCGCCGGCGCCGGAATGGCAGACTTTTACGCCTACGCCTATGCCTCGGATCCCATTGCCAACGGCTTCGTCCTTCAAAGCGCAACCGTCGTTGGCTTCCCCGCTCTTAGCAGGAACTACACGTCGACACGGTGGTTTAGACTGGCGGCGGTCGTTGGCTGCGGCACTGGCACAAGCAATTACACTGACCCCAAGCTTGTCACGGACTGCATGAAGAATCGGACCACCGAGCAGATCTTTGGCGCGTTCGGGCCCGAGGAAACAGGCGTTGGCTCTACGCCCGCTTTCGGGCCCGGCGTGGACGACATCCTCGTCTTTGAGGATTACACCGATCGCCGAGCTGCCGAGGCTGGGTACCTGATTGGCGACAATGCCAACGAGGCGGGACTCTTCCGTTCGATGCAGCCGAATAGATCAGACGCGTACTGGAACGACTTCAACTTTAGGTACTACACCTGCGGTGACGCCATTAGGATCAGCCAGGCTGTGAACGATGGGATGTCGGCCTGGAGGTACCGGTATTTCGGAGACTTTCCCAACCTGGCCATCTCTAACAACCCGGCCAGCGGAGCCTATCACGGTGCCGAAGTGAGTGTTTTGCCATGCTGCCCTGGACTCGTACATCGTGAGGTTAACTAAAGTCTTTCCTCTAGCTCCCACCTCTTTTCGGGACGCTGCCTCAGACGCCGCCCAGCACTTCAGTCGAACTGGCGACTGCTGAGTTTCTTCGGGGAGCGTGGACGACTTTTGCCAAGGATACTTCCTCTGGCTTGCTTGGCTATGCTGGCGGATGGCCGATCTATGATCCTTCTCAGCCGACCCTTGCTCAAATTGCGAGTGACAACCAGACGGGAATAAACTTGGGTTTCGGGAACTCGTTTGATGGAATCTGCTCGTCTTTGCCGGCGATTCCTCCTTCCTAGACTTGTTGGCATGGCGTCAGGGTGCTCTGCTAGTTGATCAGGTTTCTGATACCTGCCACTCTTACCTCAAAACTCTCGACATATGGGCACATAGTCTGGTTCCTGCATTTATTCCAACATTGAGTTGGATTTGATGCTTTCTGTAAACGACTACATATTCCTAGAAGTGAAAAAGTAAACCCGCCGGATTATTTCAAGATCAGAGTCTAGAGATTAAGCAAACACTATGTCGAGAAGACAGTCGCAGATGTTAAGTTGCATGCAATTTGCTTCGTTGATATTCGGAAAAACAAATTTTAAGATTAATCTACAGTAATCAAGATAGAAAGATGTGAATATTCTCTTCACAGAATCAAATCCCCTCAATATTTGGACATCCTCCGCGCAAGCAGGAAGTCAGGGGTCAAACATAAGATAGTGCATGATCCTGAGAATGTCCAGTCAACGCTGTGTCTCTAGCATAAGTCAATGGGAGGCCAATGGTCTACTTGGCAGGTAGAACAAGGCAAAGATTAAAACAAAGATCGTGTTACTAACTGAATTGATGCTACTTTCGGTTACTTGAGTCTAAAGGGCAGTTGACTAATTGAAACTGGCAATGCTGTGACAGGTCAGTTAGTTTATGACTACATTGATCCACATCATAGTCATACAATGTGTGCACGAACGGCTGTTACTATGCCGAATTTCGGCATTGCGTAGTAATGTTCGAGTCATTGAGGACGCACTGCTAGCCTGAACATATGGGCAGACATCATTGAAAGGGCTTAAAGCGACTGCAAACTTGGAAGAGTAAAAAGCCTAGTAATCTGAAAACACGAATTCGAATGACACGATTACGCCTTTAGGGGTTGACGTAATAATTTAATGCAACTCTATCGTTAAAACATTACCGTGGGCCTCCCATTTATCGTTATGTGCATCGAGAGAAAGTGTGGCAATTTGATCTGTGACGATGAGTTCTTCATCAAGACATTGTATTCAGTGAAGAGAGACACACTATGTCAGTACAATGAGGCTGTTGACTTTGGAACATATGGACTATGTGTAGGCCCTTCGTGGGATTATTATTCTGTCATGGTCGATCGTCACATCATATCAGGATGTCGTCCGCAATTCCAAGTTTTTCAAGGGTACTTGATCTAATTACCCTTTGTTTCGATAGCTTTATTCGCCTTCATGTTACCTACTTTAGACTGTTAAGAAGTAGTCATATTCTTTACTTTCTTGTTAATTTGACGTCAGTCTGCCTTTCTTTCTCATGGAATACGACTAGCCATCTCTTTGGACTATACGACGGAAGGTAAATGGGGGTCTAATTATAGAGGCCACGGCAGTGTCATCTACTAATACCTTGAACGAGTCTACCGCAGCGTAGGTACATTGAAATATCATTCAGATCCATTGAGTCTTGTACAGAAGCTACTGCGATTCAAGGAGCAGACAATTTGAAATTTGTAAGCTGAAATCACTACTCAATGGCGTCTCGTACCGTCTGTCTTCTCCCTTCCTTCCTAGATGCCTTTATTTCTCCAGAAAATACTTATAGACTCAAAGATACCTCTCATGCAAGGCTCAACGATGGCGGCGGTCAAAAGGAACGTGGAATATCAGCTACGCGAAGGGCCAGCTCAATTGACTTGCCATCTGTGCTGTCAGGGTCTGACAAATGACTGGCACAGTTAAATCAACAAATGGAGACTACAAATGAGTCAGAGTATGTTACTGTTTGCTGTTGGACCCGTCTCAATACCTGAACTAAGAGTCATATGCTGTATCCCGCCTCCTTGGACAATTTGCTTCTGCTTCCAATACTTCCCATGAGCGCCACGTGGCCATTGAAGCTGTTGCACATCTGGCGAATTGCTAATGGCCACCAAAGTTGACTCTAGAAAATCTATCCATCTTGATTCACGGCCAAATTCTTGAATATCTAGATCGCGTGAGCAGCCAACAGAAGCAGCTAGCAGCTTAGCATCGATTTGAAGATCGCCGAGGGGACGTTGGGCTGATCAGATCCTACCCAGCCTCCCAATAACACGTCGTCCTGGTGTATAACCCCGCTTCGCGCGGCCTGCTCCGCTCCGCCACACCACCCTCAACTTGTAGAC